TTAACCCTTTGGTTCTAGTTTTTTTTTTTTTTTTTTTCCCCTTTGGCTTCGATTGTAATCATGTGTGTACGCTCTTCTGTTACTTTTTGTTGGTTGTTGATTGGATTGAATCCTGATGAATGATGCTCAAAGAGATGTAAGTATGGGTGTTTTGATAAACTAATTAAAATAACAACAATGATACAACCAGTAAAAAAGTATTATGAAAAGTCATAGTGATTGATGTGGCTATATTAATTACGGGTCAAAGTGTAATTTTTGTAAAAATTAAGGAGCAAACTCAGTCATTATTTATTTTCAGTGTATATTAGTCACTATACTTATCATTTTTCTTAAAATAAATTGATTTTATTAAACAGCGTAGGGTTCAAAGATGCATGTGTAGAGATGAAATCTGACTCGATACACAGATTTTGATTGCCTCCAATTGCTTCTGTTGCAATTTTATGCATCACACCTTATTAATCTTCTTTACTTTTTCCCTTACAATTTTCTTGGAGTTCCAGATATGGATTTTGTTCTTGTGAATTGAGTAGAAAATCTTGTACTATCATTCGTTGTACTTTGTTGATAAGAAATTTCATTTTTGATCACTATTACTTTGTTTTGCAGGTTTAAAAATTTCTTATTTCCATTTGTTATCAGATAATTGTACATCACCTTACCCAGATACAAGTTTACGGAGGAGGAGAGAAGTGGAATATCTGCAAGCTTGCTAACAGATTGCAAAAGATATTCTTCAGCCATGCTGCGGTTAGATTGACGAATTTGGGTAAATAAATTTCACTAAAATATATGCTACTTAGAAATTTGAGCTTATTGGTTATTAGATGTTAGAAAGGCAAATGCTATAGATGGGAATTGAAGGGATACATCTACCTTAACTTTAGCATTGTGGTGATGTTCTAATTTCTTGAGTTAGTATCCTGATTCAAACATGTCTATTATGAGAGTTTCAATTGCTATTGAAGGTGGCATTATCAATAAGTCAGCAATGAATGTACCTATCATTAGTAGTTTCTTGCTGTTCATTCCTGCTCATTTATTTACAGACCATACTATGCATATTTTTCAATTGTTACACTAATGTGAAGACCTTAGTTCTTTTAGAAACCATGGGCATGATACGAATCATGGAAATGAATATTACAATATTTCATTCATATTTATAAAACAATAAGAAAAAACATATGGAGAATTTTATTCCATCTTCTAATTCAATCATTTACTAATGCTCATTTTTTTTGGGTTTATGTTTAGATTCAATCTTTTTCTTATTTAAACTTCGTATTATATATCTTCTTCTAACTAGAAAAATTATTATCATTTTATTAATAATAAAATAGATCGCGCGATGCGCGACGAATGATAGAACTAGTTTATCAAGAATGTATCTAAATCTATAAAAATGAACATGATGTACTTATTCATTGTGAAAAAAATACAGAGATATAGTCTTTCTCCTCTTTAGTTTCTGTTTATTATTATTTCTAATAAATCTAATACCAATTTTCTTCTCCATCACTTTTAACCTTATTTCTAGTCCAACATTTATTCATACTCTGCATAACTATTATTACTCTCAAAATCCTTACAATAACTAGGTGTTTCAAGAAATTTTTTTGGACTAATAATCAAATCACAAATTTTTAATTTGAAAACTTTGTTTCTTTGAGTTATTTATTTATTTTTTTTTTTTATATAATGTGGAAGCCTAATGGCTTAGATACAAAAGCATCCCTCTAATACTGGGATGTCTCGACAGCTTCACTTTCCAAAAGCTCTAAGATTTGGGATGGAGGTGTTGGCAAAACTTGCCTTCCATAAGGACACAAAAAGCCAAGTTTTGCCAACTCGTCCGCCACACGATTTTGACTTCTACTGGCATGAACTATAGTTACCTGCCATATGAGGTTTAGCAAACCTCTGATTCTACAAAAGATATTACTATTTACAGTGACAATATTCGTATCCGATAAGAATTGGACCCGCTACGCCGTCCAACTCCAAAATGACATTACGAAAGCCGAGTTCCCAAGCAATTTGGAGGCCGAAATATGCCCCCAAAATTCAGCTTCTAGCGATCGCAGAATCCCGCATTTGCTGCAAATCCCATTATCCACTCACCATGACATGTTCTAAGAACTCCCCCCGCTGCTGATTTTTTCACGGTTTCGGACCTGGCCCCATCAGTATTTATTTTAACTGAGTTATTGGGTGGAGGGCGCCAGTGTTGTACTTGCAAAAGGAGATGACTTCGGCCTTGACTCTGGGCAAAGATCCGGTTCGATCTAGTGATTTCCTTCACGGTCGCTTTTATGAGACATTTTAAGGAGCCTTCCTCCACAATCTCGTCCCCAAATACTTCCTTGTTCCTGGCAGTCCACAGTCTCCAGCACGTGATTGCGAACCATGTTGGCCAAGCAGCACCTTCCTGCAAAACAGACGACTTCAAGTTACAGATAATCCATTCATTCCAATCCGAACCTAACCAAAAATCGGCGCCCAAGTTGTTGTTGCAGCCACGCCAAATCTCCTTGCTGCGGTAGCAGTCTCTGAAGAGGTGGAACAGGGATTCCTCTTCTCCACATATATGACAGGCTGCGTCGTTTGTCAAATGTCTTCTCATCCTCTCCGAATTCACCCTTAGAGCCTTCCTGTATAATAGCCACAAGAAAATACGGACTCTCTCCGGACCACACCACTTCCAGATTAAGGTCCAGCCTCTATCTGCTTCTTCCCATCTCCCTTGCATAAGAAGCGTGTAAGCCGTTGTTGTTGAGAACCTCCCTGATTCGGCCAATTTGACGACATGGTCTTTGGTCGAGTTTCTTTGCGGTGGAGGGATTGCCCTTAATCTGTCTCTGTAATTTCCGGCCAAGAAAGGAGATATAAGACTCAATTCCATGAACCCGACGGGGTTAACAATTCAGCCACTCGTTTGTTCCACGAGATGGAGGGATTGGGGATATAGCCAAGTGATATAAAGGCCCTACATTATAATCGACCCAATTGTCCTGCCAAAATTTGACCACTTCTCCATTCCCAACCACCCATTTCACTGCCCTAGATAGTTCACCCCAAACTGTAGCAATGCTTCTCCACAAATGAGATGCATTAGTTCTCGATATGTCATCTAATACCTCACACCGAGCCACGTTATATTTTGTTCTCGGATTTTACTCCACAAACCGCCGTGATCCGCGACTAATCCCCAGGCAAATTTGAGAATAAATGCCGAATTAAACTCCCTCAGTTTCCTTAGTCCGAGACCACCTCTATTTTTAGGTTGGCAAACAGTCTCCCAATTCACCATGTTAGGCTTTCTGTCACCCGGTTTGCTACCCCACAGGAAACTCCTTCTAATTTTATCAAACTCATCACACACCCCTTTCGGTAACATAGTCGACTGCATAAGGTAAAGAGGAACAGCTGACAGAATGGACTGACATAGAGTTAGCCTACCCGCCAACGAGATTTTCTTTGTATTCCATGTTGAAGCTCTTTTCTGGGCTTTAGAAATCCATTCAGAGTATATATCCTTTGTTACTCTTCCGTGAATTATCGGAGTTCCAAGGTATTTCTCCAGATTGTTCACCCTTCGAACCCCCAGTTCACTGCTCAGAAGATCAGCCTCAGTGATATCCACATTTGGAGAGAAGTAGACTACTGATTTTTGTTGACTGATCGTTTGCCCTGATGCAACACAAAATGCGGCTAGTGTTCTTCTAACTTCTCCCACCTGATCTTGGGTGGCTTCCGCAAACAAGATTAGGTCATCGGCGAAGAGTAAATGGGATAGAGGAAATCTGTCATTGCCGAATACTAGAGGCTTCCAGTTTCCATTGATAACTTTGAGATTTATCGCCTGCGATAGTCTCTCCATGCAGAGAACAAATATATAAGGCGAAATAGGATCGCCCTGACGAACGCCTCTCGTAGGTTGGAATTCCTCACCCAGTTTGCCTTCCCACAAGATTTGTGTTGATCCCGTGTGTAGAGAGCTCATGACCACCGAGGTGAGAGCCTTTGGAATTCCCGCGTCTTCCATTGTGTCCTGTATAAAGCTCCACTTGATTCTATCATAAGCTTTGACTAGGTCGACTTTCAGCGCCATCCAGCCTTTCTCTCCTTTTGTCAACCTCATTGTATGCACCGCCTCTTGTGCAACAACAATATTTTCCATGATACTTCGTCCCGGTACAAAGCTGGATTGCGTCGGTAGTACTAACTTATTCATTACTTTCCTCAACCTGTTAGCTAAAACTTTTGAGATTATTTTAGCCGAGACGTTGATCAGGCTAATCGGCCTCATATTCTGGAAGGCTTCTGGGTTCTTGACCTTTGGTAGTAGAACAACCATTGCCTTGTTAATCCTTCTGTCAACTTTCCCAGATAGCATGGCATCTCTCACCATCCTGCATACTGACCCCTTCACTGCCTCCCAATTGTGTTGGAAGAATCCTGCTGCGTAGCCATCGACCCCACACGCCTTGAATTTGTTCATCCCAAACACCGCACTCTTGACTTCATTGTCGTCCACTGCTTTTCTAGGAGATGAACTTCGATTCTCGTCGAGGGGGAATTTACCACGAATACTATATGTATTTTGAGCCGAGTCCGGCCTGTGTAGACTTCCCTGAAGTAGTAGGTTGCTTGGCGACATAATTCCATCGGGTCTGAGCACCAATTGCCATTTCCCAGACGGATGGCCTTCACCTTGTTTTTTATTTTCTTCTGTTTATGCATAGAGTGGAAGTACCGAGTGTTTTGGTCTCCCTGTGTCCACCAGATGGCTCTAGCGTTTTGGACCCGTAACAGTTCTTCCTGAGTTACAATTGTCTCGTATTCCTCACGAAGTTGCTGTTCTAGTCTTCGCAGTGAGTTGGATTGGTAGAGAGCCAACGCCTTCTGCAACCCTTGAAGCCGCGCTAATACCCTATTCTTTTGTTTGTTTAGATCACCAAACACATGAGTTTTCCACTCTTGAAGCTGGACTGTTAGCTTCGTATAGCCACCGGAAAACATGATAGCTCGTCCCAATGTTCAGCCAACCAGTCATTCCACAAATCGTGCGCCTCCCAGGCAGACCAATACTTAAAAAATTTCTTTCCTTGCCACCTGTCACCTCTAGCTTTGAATTTCACCAGCAATGGAGAGTGATCGGAGGCTGTTCTAGGGAGATGCTTCGCCAATGTGTCCATGAAAAAGTCCTCCCACTTGTCATTCGTGAAAACCCGATCAATTCTTTCGTGAACTAGTCCTCTTTGCCATGTAAACCTCGAGCCCGAGAAACCTGGATCATTCAATGCATTCCTGTCAATCCATTCCCTAAACCTTCGACAACCATAAGATTTTCTTCCTCCTGTTTTGTCTTGTTCAGATGTGTATGCATTGAAATCTCCCATAATAATCCATGGGATAGAGTTTGTACCTGCAAACACATTAAGATTCTCCCATAGTGTACGTCTGGTCAGTGGTTGAGGACTGCCATACACTACGGTCAAGTGACACCACAAGTTATCTTGAAACAACACTTTAACATGGAGAAATTGCCAGTCGTTGTGTAGTATTTCTACTGACACAGTGTCCACCCAGAGTAACCAAATTCCCCCCGAGTATCCAACAGCTTCAATCCTGTGCGAATTCGCCATTCCTATTTTTTTAACAATAGCATCGGCATCAGAGCCGCTAGTTCTAGGTTCAAATATAGCAACCATATCCATCCTATGACTCTTAATTAAGTCTTTTAAAGCAGCAATCGTCTTTTTATTCGAAATACCTTGACAGTTCCATGCTAATAAGTGCTTAGCCATTTAAAAATTTTTTATTAAGAGTTGAGATGGGAAATATTACCTGCCGGCGTCCGGCAGAGTTTCCTCGTCTGCGTCAGACCAGTGCGCGTCTTCCGCCACTAAACGGTGGTCCAGCATTGCATTACTGTATTGCTTTTCGCCCCCCATCAGATCCCCGGATGGGTCAGGTGGTTTCCCGCTTGAAGACCCACTGAATTGTAGCTTCGATTTTAGGTGAAATGCATATTTTGGGTCCGGCGGTTTTCCCGATTTTGGTTCCATTGTAGTGGTTTCTAGGTTGTCGGGTATGATAGATGTGGAGCTATCTGGTTTTCGGCTGGGATTGGGATGAGGGATGTTAACTATTGTGTGTTTGGCTATCTCGACGGTGGGTGCAGAAATCTGGTCCTGCTCAGTGGTGACGACGGTGGGTTGGCTTGTCATTGCAGGGGAAGGAGGTTCTGCGTGGGTATATTGGTGGGAAGGGGATGGAGAGCAATAGGCATGTTGATGGTCCTGGCCTTGTTGGGTTTGGGGAACGTTGTGGCTCATTGGGCTAGTTAACTGTGTTATTGGGTCGTTTTGTGCTGACTTTTTCGCCCATGGCTTATCTCGGCCCACTATCTCCGCTTTTCTCTTGGAGGGAACATTCACTGGGTCCTGTGCCTTTGCCCTGTTTCCGGGTTGGGCCTTCTTCTTCACTGGAGCTTTACCTGAAGAAAAACCAATAGATGGGTCAAATTGGTTGTTAATGATCGGAAGAGCACTTACTGGCATCGATTTTCCATTTGGTCGTGGTTGAGACGCCGATGGTTCCTGTGTCAGATTAGCCAGCAGGGCAAACGGGTTCGACTGAATTTGTTTCGCCTTTTGTCCTTTCTGACTGGAAACTTCGTTGGGGTGGCCTCCAAGATTTCCGCCGAAGATCGGCCGTCGACCCCTCTTTTGCGCGTAACTCCACTCGCCGATGTTGGGGGTTACGTTGTGTTGCCTTGGGATGTGCGCCACTTTTTCTGGGTCGGATGTTACCGTTGTTGTTGTCCCAGTCACATCTCTATGACCGTTATTGGGCTTAGGCTCTGTCGTTGGGTCGTTGTTGTTTGCCACCCCAACGAAGTTAAGCGTGCTTGGGCGAGAGTAGTACTAGGATGGGTGACCCCCTGGGAAGTCCTCGTGTTGTACCCCTCCCTCCTCTTTGAGTTATTTTCAAGCGGCCACAGCTTTGTTCTTCCGCCACTGACAATTCTGGCCCATCATCATCAAAATGTTATTCTTGACTTTACCAATCTTCTTCTTTTTCTTTATCTTTGAAGTCATTCCCCTGCTGGCCCAACATACAAATCAATGTTATTCCAACAAAAATATAGCCCAGTGTAGCTCTTTCCTCACGTTTCAGCCCGTGTCCCTCCAATTTTCCTTCCCTTTTAGCATTTTGGATAAAATTCATGCGTTAAGCTACGTTCGACTTGATTCGAGTTCGAGCCGATACTCTAAAAGTTACCAAGTTTAAATTATTTTACTTGATTCGAGCAGATACTCTAAAAGTTACCAAGATAAAAATTAGTAGAGGAAGGTGTGACGGGCTCATACTAACATGTTTAATGAACTTATCAGAAAAAATTTTTACCGAAAATCCCGTTTAATATTTTATAAAAAACCGTAATTAAATCATCAATATTCAAATTACTTGGCCGTTCCTTAAATTTCCCTTTCACTTCTCAAGACTTTCATCATCGGATGTTCCCTGATAACTTTGGGCTGGCAGAGGCAGTTAAAATTGTCGATATTGGCTTATCCTTTCTATTGAGAGACTTAACAATTAGCTAGGTTGTTTGTTTTTTTGTCCATTTTCCAGCCAAAATCCCGAATGCGATGTGCTAAAGGCTAAAAAGAGGACCCTAGATATCACATGTTGCAAATTCAATAATATATATGTAGTCATCTCCAAACCAATCATCATATACTTCTAAAATAATTTCAGCTGGCACATATATATTATATATATGATTGAACTTCCAGATGATGATGATCAAGCAATCGCCCGTTTTGATAATGTAGTTATTCATCTATACGCACACGCATACACTTTGTGCATATAGTTTTAAAAGGACCCCATGAAAACTATGAAGAAAAGTGCAACACTTTTTGGTTGAATAGTTGAATCGTTATCACTCCCTTTCTGTACAAACTGTCACAATTCCCCCTTGGCCACATGCCTAATAATGTTGTGTTTCATGCAATTCTTTGTCTTACTAGCTAGCTTTGATTTTTGTTGCAAAGGAGATACAATGATCTTTCCTCTCCGAATTCCGTTAGGGGTCGCATTATGATCATGACCCCAAAATTCTATTCAACGTTTTTCGTTTGGAAAACGTTTATGGGGAAAAAAGGAAAAGGAAAAAAAAAAAAAAAGTAACAATGAAAACCTTGAGAAATTAAGGGTTCCATCTCAATTGTATTTATACGTTTTGAATCTTTTAGTCACTCCTTGTGTTCTACTAATGTAACGTTACTTAGACTATCTAACAAGTCCTAGAAAATGAAAGGACGTAAAGTTTGAGTAAATATAATTGATCGAAAACATGTCAATTAATCAAAGAGTAATCACTATTACACTTACAAAAAAATATTTCCCAATTTATATACTCCCTCTGTCCCAAAATTATTGTGCAGTTTGAAATTTCACTTTTAGTATAATTTGAATTAAAAATAAAAAATAAAATTGAACAATAATTATAGGACAGGGGGAGTATATCCTTATATTGCTTTGCTACTGGTTTCATGTATGACATACACTAGACATCCGAGAAAAACCTTGTTAATATATACGCTATTCCCTCTGTTATTAAAGAAAATTCATATTGTAAATTACAATTTATACTAAAAAGAATACAACTCACTACTTATAATGTAGACTTTTTTTTTTTTTTTTGAAATAGAGAGAGTATTAATTTGATATTGATATTCATAATCATTTTCAGCTTTCGCCAATTTCTTCACCTGATGATTATAACCAGAATAAATCAAAAGCAAAACCGAAGTTCTGAACACAGATTTTGCTTAATTATTGGATATATTTTATTATGCAAAATCTGATCTCATGACATAGTGTGGACGAGAAATCAATTGATTTTGTTCATGCACTTTCGGTATCTGTTCGATCTGATACGAACCAGACATGATCATCGTCAAGTACAAGGTATAATTCACAATAATGATGTCGGAAATGCATTTAAAAAATATAAATCAATCGTGAAAGATTAACCTAATTATCTGATTAAGACCAATCATGCCTGCATGCCGCCTTCTAGTATTATTTGGTTTGGAGCGAATCGAAATTAACAAGTTTATGCTATCTTTTCCCCTCCCTCACATAAGCCTACCCTCAAATTAATAAATCCATATAATAACTTAATCCAATTATTTGGCGGAAATTTGACCTTGACTAATCTCAATCTGAATGAATTTGTTGCGAGTGCAATATTCGTTGTACGTGCACATCTTTTCCAAATATTTAATGTGGCTATAGGAGAACTAGAAGCCGACCATGATACATGAATTAACGTACGAAAAATAGTGATTTCTTTTTAATAATTTATATTTTCAATCAATTGTTTTATCACTGCTGATTTATTTTCGAAATATGCTAATAAAAGGAACATCGAACTCTTTAAGGGATTTAAAAACCTTGTGAAAATCATAACGTTTAATTAAGATGTCCAGTTTCAGATGCTAATAGCGTTTGAAGTATTTAGTTCAGTTTCAGTACGTAGCTAAGCTATGCCTGTTCCTAATGTTAAAAGGGGAAAAAAAAAACAAATAAAACAAATACTCTTTGTGTTACAAAATGATTGTCCAGTTTGGACTTTTAACTTTGATACAATTTGTGCTAAAAATAAAAATTTAAATTTGATAGTTAAGATGAAGTACTCAATCCATGTACATGGAGTTCAATTCAAATTTTTTTAAAATTATACTTACTCCTGGGTTCAAGCTTCAACCACTCCGGATCATACTGCATTGATCAAGGCAGAAAGTTGGTCTATATCTTCTTCTTCATCATCTTTTTCGAAAAGGGAAAAGAGGGGCTTCGTGGTTGGAATTACTGAGTGAGTGGTCTTAAACTTTTGTTTACTAGATTTTCTTCTTTTTTTTTCACCGTGAAGAAAAAAAAAGAAAGAACATGTATTAAACCAACACAGTTTTGTGGATGGTGAAACTTCAATTATATGAAGTTCTAGTCACCCTCTGATTTCCAATTAGAGGATCGTGCAAGCTATGAAAATTCTCAACACATTGATTTGTTTAATTATTTCAGCTAAATTAAACCGCAGAGACCGTCCTCCTTAGAAGCAGCCATAACCATAGCTAGGTTGACGTCATACATCTTCTTCAGACTTCATACATACGGTACGTGAAAGAAAAATTTGTTAATTTGTTTCCTTAATAGACACCAATTCAGCTTAATTTGTTCCTCAATTATACAGTCCAACGATACATTAATCAAAGACTGAATTAGTTGCAAAGTCAACAATCACCACTCTTTGTTTATAACACTACAGTTTGTTCAGTTATAATACCCCATCATTCTCTCTTACTTTTTGATATAGTAGTTTTTATAGGTATATAAGACTATGCATGACATCATGAGATTTAGGAATGATGAAACATTCGGTTAATCATCCAAATAGTTTTCACAAACATATATCAGAAAGGAAATGCCGCAGACGTGCTTGTGAAATATACAAAACGGCAACTTGCTTAAAATTGTTTTCTTGAAAAAAAAAAAAAACCATTTTTAAGATCAATGCTAGTTAAACCTATATCCTCTCCATAACCCTAATTGTGTGGAGGTGGCATAGGGAGAAACGGATTTCAGCCATGAGGTAAACAAAAGATTCCTAATAAACCTGTCCATTGTCAATTTGTCATGCATCCCATCATCATCATTTGGGTCTTACGGTCAAAAGTAGTTAACTTTTTACTGTTTACCAGAACAACTAAAGAAATGTATTCATATTGTTGCACTATGTATGAATATATTGCCTTTTCAGAATTTTGGATGATCGAAAAAAATCGTGATCATTATTACTTTAGACGCGATTTCAATCTCCTACCCTCAGTCACTTATCCTAGATGCTTTTAAGTGAATTAAATTATCTTAGTAGAAAACACTATGATGATTTCCAAAATCTCTTGCCTCACTCTTTTTTATGAACAACTATCCTTAATTAATTACCTCCTATTTGATAAATATACTCATATATACGTTCATTAACCTTTCAGATTTTTACGAGGTGCTCTTTTTGAACCAAAATAAGAACCAAATCCCATTGGAAAGATTAGAAATACCATTTTGGATTAACAAACATGTCTCTAGTTTGAGGCAGAAAATTTGCAAAGTTCAGGCAGAGTTCTACACAGTTAACCAAAAAAGTCAAAGCAGAGTTGAAAAAAAGCTACAAAAATCGACAAAGAAGAGACCAAGATCTGATAAAACTCCAACTTCCCAAACTGAAAATTCTGGCTTTATACAAAGGCAGCATTAGTGGGAATCAGTTATTTGTTTCACACTTTCACTTTCACCATGTTAAAAAAATAAAAATCAGGGACCATGATTTATGGCACATGCGGGTCCAAAAAAAGTCAAAATCTATATCAATTTTTTTTTTAAAAAAAAAAAAATTATGTACCATTTGAAAGTCCCACTCCACACACACACAAATAGCTCAACAATCATACAAACATGTGCCACAAGAGCACTTGTAGATAACTTG